GGAGTCGGAGGCGGCGAACCTCAGCGCTCGGTCCGTTCCTCGTTGCGGCAGGTGGAGCAGCTTCGGGGGCAGCGGCTCATTTTCACCTCCTTTGTTTCCCAGTTGATCTCGGGGTTATGCTTTTTGAGCCAGGAGTACCCGAGTATCAAGTCCTGTTTCCCAAGGTGGGTTACAGCCAGCTGAACGCGTTCGGAGTGTCCGTTGTATCGTAGGACCAGGTCCGCGATTTGGCGAATAGACCCAGCATCATTGGGGGTGCCATCGACATTGTAGACCGGTATGGGTACTGAGAGATTTCGGACTGGCACGTTGTTTCGGTTGACGTATTCTGTGTCGATAAAGTCCGAAGTGGCTCCGCAGTCGACCAGACCCGAGAGGGAGAGCTTGAGCGCGTTCGCAGTGGACTCAAGTTCAAGGGGGAGGTGCAGCGAGTTAACGCCAGGAGCGGCAGAGATGGTATAACTGCCAGGTAGCTTTTTCTCCCAGGCAAGTCGGCGAATCCAACGGGGGGCTTCGGAGGGGGCAGGGGGTGCGTCTTTCGTTTCAGGCTCGTTGTAAGGCAAGGGAGTTGATTCATCATACAAACAAGTGAAACGATTTATGGACGCGAACGAGGGCACACCAGTCACTCGTCAGGGGACAAAATCCTCTGCCGGAGCCTCCGAATGCGCTTCTGCTAAGGCCGCGGTGTCGGACAACCGCGCAAGTAGCTCTCCCAGCATCTCATCGCCAAGTTGCTGGATCACCTCGTCGAGGATGTCCATATGGCGAACATCGGCGGGGAGCGGACAGTCCCGAGCCAAGTGATTGGGGTCGCCGCATCTGAAGCAGGCTCGACGAGGGGCGCCCGAGCCCTAGTACGATCCAACTCCATAGGGACGGGAGCCGGAGGTACCGGGACGGGGCGCGGGCCGCGGGTGGCGCAGGTGCGGCCACCGGGCGGATGGGGAACGGAGTTGCCGAACGAGTGATGGGGAAGGCGCCGCGGAGCTCCCGGCGGTCCGCGGGGTAGCCGTTCCCTTAATGAGCTTCGCTCGCACCAGGGCTTCATATTGTCGGAAAGCCCGGAGTGCGCCAGCCCAGATAGTCACGGAGGTCTGGGGGGTCGTTCGAAGACGTGATGCCGTTGTTGATCAGGGGATCAAGTCCGTGGCGGTACTTGGTCACCTTAACCAACGCGTCTTCGAATCCGGCGAGGTCCATTAGGTCCTCGAAGTCGTCGGTGTATCTGTAGACATCCCGCGTTCCCATGTGATAACCCGCGCTCTCCAACTTGGCAAGCGCAAGGTCCTGCTCGTTCTCCTCAACGAACCGAAGGCGAAACTCGGAGAGGAATAGGTTCCACCGAGGGAAGGGGAAGGGGGTTTTGCTCCCATGACGCTCTGCCCACTGCTGAGCAGGTCCCTCCGCCATATAGGACATGGCGTAGCGGACGGGCCTTTTCCTTCGCTCGGCTCTCCGTTGACCACGAAGGCCTCCGGGGCAAGCCGGCGTAAGTCTTGACCGCGTATAGGAAGGCGCGGCCGCGTTTGCGATCCCCGTTAAACGCAAACGGAGGGTTTGGTCGTAAGACCAGTTTTGAGGCGACAGTAATATCACCAAATAACGCATCCCGTCGGGGGCATTCGGAGATGCCAGGGGCGGTTCGGGAGCTGCCGAAGGTGGTGCGGCAGCGGAAGCCTGGGAAGCAAGGTGGGTGAGGATATTGGTGAGGTTGTCTAGTTTCGCCTCAAGTGCGTCCATGCGCGTCAGCGTCCGGAGCAGCTCCGGTGGACATAGCGGGCGTAAAGACGACAAGAGCAGAGGAGGAGGGGTCAAGTGGCAGGGGCGGTGACGAGGGGGGTACGGACTCGTACTCCGAGCCTGAATCAGCGCCAAACCTGGCAATCTTGACCGGTTAATCCCGTAGAGAGTTTCTTCTGCTGTAAGGGCAACCCTGGAGACTCCGACGAAAGCCTAGCAGGGGAGGATCCAAAGCGTGAATAAAAGCTACGGGAAATACACGGAGGGACCGACCTAGCAGGGGAGGATCCAAAGAGAAGAAACTCTAAGGGTCCGTCTGCTAGGGCGCCAACTATATACTGGTCGTCCGTAACTGCCGACGTAGAGCGCAGAAGGCCTGAGCGGCGTCGCAGGCTCTGTCCCAAGGTGATCGTTGGGAGGGTCTTGACGGATCGGTGATTGTGCGGGCGAAGGAGGCCGTGGGACGATGGTCGGGGTGGGTCGGAGCGTCCGAGGGGGGCGCCGGTCGGATGCGCCTCGGATGCGTTCGGAGGGTCCGAAGGAGGCCGAAGCGGGGGTTCCCCTGACAACAACTTTGTAAATCACAACTTCGCAAGATACATGTTGCCAAAGCCTCTGGTACAACTTTTCTGGGCCTACATACAACTTTTTCAGACAAGGTACAACTTCAGTTACTGCATCACTTGCCATCAGCGGCCATCAAAGGTGATCATAAAGGCAGTGGTAGAGCAAAGCATGTTTAATGTGTTTATCTGATCCGCTGATGATATCAGTGATGGCTGGCCAAAAAAGTTCAGATTGCATTCAAATAAACTGCATACAGAAATAAAGTTGTCCTAGGAAAAGTTGTCCAACTGGCTAGTTGTATGCCCAAAAAGTTGTACTCAGGAAAAGTTGCATTTTGGAAAGTTGTAGATAATGACAGGTTGTCTTTGCCCAAGTTGGACTTGTCACAGCCAGACTCAAGTTGCCCCACCCAGGAAAAAGTTGTACCTGAATTAGGGCCAAAGATGTCTTATTAAAAGTTGTAGTTGTCTTTGGCCAAATGTAAAGTTGTTTCTGGACAAGTTGTGATTCTGGCAGTTGTACATGCTTCCAAAAAAGTTGTATCCCCCAAAGTTGTACATGCTCTCAAAAAAGTTGTCTCATGTTGGAAAGTTGTACTCAGACAAGTTGTACATGTTATTGGTGAAGTTGTATCTGACAAACATGTAGTTGTAGTTGATATAGAGTTGTATCATATTTTTAGCTGTATTTTACCTAAGTTGTCTCTAATCTTTTTTTACAGTATGTCTCCCATACGGTTAAAGTGGGGAAGTATTAATTTTACACACACTTTGTGAGAATTTCAGTTTTCCACAACATTTTGAACAAAACACTGTTTTCCACAGCTTTATTTCCCAAAATTGTCAGAAAGTTGCAGATCACACCCATTCCCCAAATCCGCAAAATATTTTTCCAAAGTACATATTTTCTGCAATATTTATTTCTTACAACACTTTTCGCAACTTTACCTCAGTACCACATTTTCCTCCGGAACTCCCCCGACAACTCGGGTGGTGCTGTCAGCTCTGACCCGCTGGCGATGAGAGGTAGCGTACAAATTAGATCAGATTCAGCACCTAAAAAAACCCCTACTGACAAATTTTCAGAATTTTCCCACGAGAAATCATGTACGGCGAATATGTTGGACCATTTCAACAACAATATTGTGTACCTCAGTGAGCTTCTGGGCCACTATATTAATTACATACATGAAAGAAACTATTACTTATTGACTCCTGCCTTGTCTATCTCAGCCAATATACTTGAACTGGAGCAGCATTTGGGGGTATTGGATCTATAGGCTGTATTTCTGTAGGTATTGCTTCAGATTGCGTTCTAGAGCTCTGGTTTCTGAGTCCTGAAATATTTCTGCCTTTACCTGGACCTTTTTTATGAGGAGGCATGGTGGGGAAGGGCAAGGAGAAAGCCTGAGAGACCCCCAAGACAACTGAAATAGTTGGCTGGGCTTATCTAGCTAATCTGGGAAAGAACCCGGGTATGAGATAGAAGCTAGGTCACAAGATCTTGGCTACATCACTTGGCTGATTTCTGGCTCAATGGAATCTTTTACGAATGGTGCCGTTGGAAAGAGCGGAAAATTCCCTTTCAAACGGTACCGGTCACGTGCCCGTAGCGTGAGAAACGCGGTACGGCGAAGCAATTTACATTACCTTACCTAAAACTTGAACTTTTTGAACTTTTGACAGTGTCTAAAATCAAGAATATATTCTTATTGTCCTTTTATGCAGTAATATAAATAATTTTACGAGTAGTATTGGAGCTATAAAAGTTGTTGAGTTTGATTGTCCGCAACTGTATACTCACCGCCTCTATCCCACTGGTACCATGTCCATGACCATGGCTCTGCCGACTTGCTGGCCGTTCGGGCTCCATTGTGAACATCGTATTTGGTGGCGCCCCTCTGATGTGCGGGGTCCGTGGGGCAGGCTGTGAATGGGCCTGGTATGTAGTGGCCCTTGAAAGGACAACGACTTGACGGTGAACCCTGCAGCGGCGGAGGCACTTCGTGTATGTCCGGACCCCGGACCGGTGCCAAATTGGGGGGGACATTGACGACGCTGGGCATGGTGGCGGGAACTTGAAGCAGATACTTGGTCGGAATGACTGGTATTCAAGATAGAAAAATGTTGCGGGAAAAAATGTTCTTTGAAAATGTTTTGCAGATTTTAGAAATGGCTGGGATCCGCAACTATTTGTCAAGTTTAGAGAATAAAGTTGCAGAAAATGGTTTTTTGCCCAAAAAGTTGCGGAAAAGTAAAATTTTCACAAAGTGTATGGAAATTTAATACTTCCCCACTTTGACCGCCATAGTATCCAGTTTAAAACATGTATCAAATACTTTTTTTACAGTATGTCCCCCATACTTATAGATAGTCAAGTTAGATATACTTAACAAAAATTATGGTCATTTGAAACTTGAAAGAGAACTTGACTTTATACTGCTTTAGTCAGTGTAAAAACTGGAAGACTAGAATCATTAGATACTATATTATAAGCTGAGATTAAAAGGTGCCATATTATCCTCAACAATAATGCCTGGCATATCATATCTTTAAGGTTTGGCCAATGATAATGTTGACAGACTTTATACTAAAGAATACAACTTGAAAGAGAATATTCTTGACATCACGCCGCGCATATGACAGTGCATGGCCACAAGCAAAATTGAATCTCGTTCGTCGACCACCCCCTTACGGCACCGACATAACACGCGGACGGCTGGGCATATCCGCCTCCTTGCACTGCTCCTTCACCCACCGCGAATAATACTATCGGAATCGATACATTAGTCCAGGCATACTGATTTTCCGATTGAAGACTCACCAGACTACCCGAGTTTACCTCCCCCATTCCCGTGGCCCCGCTCGTGTGATTCCCGCCCGTGGTATGCCGCCGGTCATGCGTGCCAAGTATCCCCGACGCGATGCGCAGACCCATGCTCCGACTGAGGTCAAGTTCCTGTGCGGCGGAACCCGGGGAGGATGCTCGGAACGGTATTCCCACGAGAAAGTTCCCCAGCAACGTCAGCGCGTACACGCGTCCCTGGCACGAGTAGAAGAAGCTGAACGCTGTCATACATCAGCCATAGCGATTGTTGAGCATGTACCATGGGAGAACCAACCGGGGTTCCGTGTGAGCAGCAAGCCCGTCATCAGAAGCGTGTTTGTCGCGACGAGCAGACCGGAGCTGATCACAAGCAGGAAGAATCTACGGGCTAGGCTGTGGGTACGGGGTCACTAATCCCGAGGAACAGCAACAAATAACAGTGCCCACCTGAACCGAGAATCTAGTAGATGTGCGGAGCCCATGAGCTTCCAGACTTTGAATGCGAGACACCCGGCGATGGCAAGGTCCGTGGAGGCACAAGTGACGGAGGATGCACTAAAACAACGTGAATGGGCGGAAAATGGTATAGACACAAGTCACCTTGCAACTCGCAAAGCCATGGATGAGCGGACTAGCATCAGACTGCCGGATACCAGTGCAAGTGAAAGCTGTGTGAGGGGAATCAACGGAGAGCCCGACCGAGATAGGCCACATACATGTCCGACTATTAATGTCCCAAGGACAAGAAGTAAAAACAGATTGTGTGTCCTGGCGCCAGATCATCTACGAACAGCACAAGCGGTGAAAAAACGCACAGGGTATAGAATACATAGCACATCACGATTTCCTCCGCCGTTGCCGTCGCATACGTCATGAACACCGAGATGGCATTCGGCACGAGCTGAGCGTCCTCCGAGAGCCCCATTATGCGGAAGCACACGTGTACACAAACGTCCAGTGTGCACACAGTGTCAAAGAGCAGCATCGCACTCACCGCCGCGCGGTAGAACGGGCGGGTCGGCCGCTTCCGGAAATACCCGACGACGAGGACGACCTCGAGGGTATAGAGGCCGACGTTGACCCACGAAGCCGCCAGCTGGAGCCTGCGGTCATGACCTCACTGAGAGCTGCGAGACAGGAGGGACAGAGCACGCACACTTCTGCCAGGAGCGGGTCGACATTCATGGCGGCCGAGAAGGGGTGCACACGCGCGGAAGCGACCCCTTCTTAAACGCTTAAAACCCGGGAAGTTGCGGGGTAATAGACTTTCTCCGCCCCGCATCGCTCTTCCCTCACCCAGTTGATGAAGGTACCCTTTACAGCTGCCCTGATATGGGCACACGCTGTCGGAGTGCGAACCTAACGAAAAACTCGTCTAGGATGGATTGGCACATGCAATCACAGCAGAAGCCCGCGAGCTTGAAACGTATCCCGAATAGAGACATTCTTGGAGCGCGAGCCAAGAGTACCCGAGACGGGAGCTGCGAAGGTCTATGAGTATAGCCATACACGCGGTGGGATGCATAACGCCGATTCGCACCTGGAGACAGCGCTGCCGCCGGCGAAATGCTCGGTGACAGTAGCAGGTGCACTTCTTCACTTCCCGTGAACAACATCTGCCGGTTAGGGCAGATCCCAGGTGAAAAATTGGCCGAGATGTGGTGGTCGTGAGGAGAAAAGGTGAATGACAAATTCCATCACGTCATGGCTTCCATGTCATGCAATTCACAGATCGTAGAATTGTCCACTGTGCGCAGTAAGTATTACTTTCATATTGGCATTCACAGCTAGCCAGGAGTATTCACATATCACTCCAGGCATTTGTCTGTGCAGCGTCAGAGAGAAGATCTAGGTAACGTCGTCATCAAGCAGTGCACGGACCATCAACAAAGGCACGTGTCAAGCTGTGCAGAATATGCAATGCAATAGAAAATTTTTTCACTTGGTGGTTGCATTGCTGTAGTGTGAAAAAGTCATTGTAACTGTGTGGGCCTTAGCTAGTCAGTCACTAGGCTGTTTCCACAATTTTTTTTTTTTGAAAAGTTTGCTAAAAATTTTGAAAAATTTTAATGAATTTGTTCTGGGTCAAAATTTGAACTTTTTCGCCAACTTTTGCTTCAAAAATCTCAGAAAAATAACTTGAAGTTTGTTACCCAATGATTACTGTGAAAAAAAGCCAGACTATATATAGTGAAAAAACTAGGACAATAATTTCAAGTTTTTGCAAAGTTTTTGCCAAGAAAAAAAACCGAAGGAAAAAAATCAAGGTGTATTTCAATATTTTTGCTGGTGAAATTTTTTGATCCGGAAGAATTCTTGCACAAATGGTCAGTTTTTCCGGAATTTTTACAAGTAAAACTCCAAGTTTTTTCTCCAACATTTTGCACGCAAGTTTCTCAAAAAAAAAGTTCATATTTTGACCCAGAAAAAATTCAAAACAGCCCTGTGAGTCCATGGGGAGAACTTTTTAACCTACAGCCTTATAACAAGAAAATTCATTCAATTATTATCATTGTATTACTAAAACGAGGAGTCACAGATGAATCCACTGTGACTCCTCTACACTGAACCGCCATTCAAGACATGTTCCGAGCAAAATAGTGTGTTGGTCTGTCCTGTCTGGGGGTGTGCCAAAGCTGTTAACATTCTGCCCATTGTCATACTAAAGATTCGTTTTGTGGTTGTTCTTAAGTGTACTATAGGAAAGCGCCAATATGATGCCCAGAACCGTTTATACTCGTTTGGATCAGGAACTAACTGCCTTAAACCCAAGGAGTCATCTCAAGTCAGGACTAACTGCCTTAAACTCTCGACCGCCAACCAAAACCAAGTGTACACCAACCGAAACTCTTTTATACGGTAACCGGAACCCTCAACTCTTCAATCACAACACCTTTTTACTAAATGAAAGAGCTAGCAAGATGATATTGACGAGCTAGATCCCCAGATGCACCTAGTAATGCGGGGCAATCCATGAATCGCTCAAATACAGGACAGAGATATAAATACTAAACAGAAAATGATAAGATCAGGTAAATCGCCACAACAGAATGATGGTCCATGTGCATAATTTGTAAGGTATCATTTTGCCATGAGGCCCAGAGTTGAAAATCCAGGTCTAGATGACCAGTAATGTGTGTTTGATGTCAATGACCTTTGTAAATCCTCTTTTCTTGCGACTGTCTATGTGTTTTTATGAACGGTCCACTAACTGTTGTTGTTATCATCATGTTGCTCCACCTCCTAGCTTTCCATCGATACTCATAACTTGAGGCTAACCGCCAGACACCGTTAGGCAACTCCTCTAACAAGATAATCGCAATCTATTGTCGAGTTGTTTGGTTGGACGGTTACGGTTTACGGTCGCCGCAATCTGCAGCCAAGCCCTCGTTTTCACTGAGTCATGTTTCCTGTTTAACCGCACCTCCACATGTCCTTGTCCTTGCATAAGCTCCGAAACCGCATTCCAATACTGTTGTAAGGGCAACCCCGGAGGCCTGAGATCAAGGTCCTAGCAGGGGAGGATCCAAAGGGTGAACATTAGTAAGCGAATACAAATGAAGCTGACCTAGCAGGGGAGGATCCAAAGAGAAGAAACTCTGAGGGTCCGCCTGCTAGGTAGCTGACTATATACTGCTTGTCCGTAGCTGCCGCTGTCGGGCACAGAAGGCTTGGGCGGCGTCGCAGGCGAGGTCCCAGGGCGACCGTCGGGAGGGCGTTGACGGATTGGTGATTGTGCGGGCGAGATGGAGGGCCGGACCGGAGTCGGAACCGGAATCGGACCGGAATCGGGCGCGTCTCCGGGCCGAAAGGGAGGTTCCCCTGACATCACCCCCCCCCCTTTGAATGCAGCGTCTCGACACGTAGACCGGAACAGAATCGAGTCGAAGGTCGCGGATGTGATGTGTCGTGGCTTGCCAGGGTACTTACGATAGAACTCCGCAATTCAGCTCATTCACTCAGGAATACTAATAAAAACATGGCTACTGGTGAAGGGCTGTACTCATAAAACCTTAAGGGTCACAAATGTCACACTTTTAAAAAAACCATTTTATTCATTTTTGGGTGTTAGATCATGGTATTAATGATGGAATTGATGGCATCAAGATAAAGTGATCAATGTGGAACGATTTTTGATGGACATCAGTACCATTGATGGCTATGTCAGGATACATCAATTTTCGCCTCATTAGGATGTATACCTTTGCCCTAGATCACAGGCCTACCCAGATGTTTATCCGGGTCTTCGGCCTGAAAGAATAGTGATTTGCCTTTCCATATCTGGTAATAGCTTAGTCATAGCTGTCAAACTCATTGAGATATTCACAATTGATTGAATGTCACATTTTTTGTCACAGTACTCCGGCCATGGCTGGCATGAGCTCCCCCAGGTTTTATGAGTACAGCCCTTCACCAGTAGCCACAGTTTTATTAGTAAAACTGAGTGCACATCCTGCGCAATTTTCTCCGGGGCGAAGACGCGGTCGAAGCGGACCCACTGGTCGTGCGATGCGTCGTAGCCTTTCCATCTGACGAAGTAGTTCAGCCGTTTATACCTCACCCTTGCGTCCAAGATTTCCTCTACTTCCCACTCCGGGACTCCGTCCTCGAGGTCCGGAGGGGGCTGGTCGTAGCCGGGGCGTCCGTCGAAGGGGTCGTCCTGTGCGAGCTCGAGCTTGACGACGGGGAAGACCGGGTGGAGCTTCGAGTAGCGCGGAGGGAGGTCGAGCTTGTAGGCACCTTTGCTGATCTCCGCGACTATCTTGAACGGTCCGAGGCGGCGATGGGAGAACTTTTCCGAGGGGCGAGTCGTCCTGATGTCAGAGGCATCCAGCCAAACACAGTCGCCAACATTAAACTCCGGAGACGGGGTGCGTCTCCGGTCGTAGTAGCGCTTGTACTCCTCTTTGGCTTTAGTGAGCGCGGCCTTGGCTTCGGCGACACCAGTGGCAATCCGGTCGCGGAACTCGTTCACCGACTCCATGGCGGAACGGACTCCGGGTTCGAAGCCCATGCGCGGTAGCCGTCCCGTGTCCGTCATGAAGGGGACTTGTTGCGTGGAGGAGTGAACGTGGTTGTTGTAGGCGAACTCCGCGGCCGGAATCAGCTCATCCCAGTCGTCCTGCTGATAGTTGGTAAAGATCCGCAAGTACTGCTCCAACTCCTGGTTGACGCGCTCTGTCTGACCGTTTGTCTGCGGGTGGTACGCGGTGGACGTGGCAGGCTTGATGCCGATTAGACGCCAGAGTTCTCGGGTGAAGTCCGCGATGAACTGCGAGCCGCGGTCGGAGACGTACTTCTCCGGAGTCCCGTGATGGCGCCAGACATTCCGGTAGTAGAGGCGAGCCGCCCCTACTGCGTCGACCGTGGTGTGACACTCCGAGAAGTGGGCACGCTTCCCAAGGGTGTCGACGACGACCATGATCGCATCGTACGCCCGGTGGCTCCGGTCATGCCACCCGCGGCCCGCGCCCCCGCTCCGGCGCCTCCAGCTCCCGTCCCTATGGAGTTGGATCGCACCAGGGCTCGGGGTGCCCCTCGCCGCGCCTGCTTCAGGTGCGGCGACCCAAACCATCTCGCCCAGGATTGCCCCCTCCCCGCCGATGTCCGCTCGATGGACATCCTCGACGAGGTGATCCAACAACTCGGTGACGAGATGTTAGCGGAGTTGATCGCCCGCTCCACGGACACAGCTGCCCTGCCGGAGACGACAGCGGAGTCGATGGCCGGAGAGGATTTTATCCCCCGCGACGAGTGACTGGTGTGCCCTCGTTCCGCGTCTATAAATCGTTTTGCCTCTTTGTATGATGAATGCAGTTCCTTGCCCTACAATGAGCTCGAAACAAAAGACACACCCTCTCCTGCCCCCACCTCGACTCCGTCTCCGACTCCACCCGCGACTCCGGTCATCGTCCTCCGCCGCCTTACTGCCTGAGAAAAGAAGCTGCCCAAGCAGTACACTGTTGCCGCTGCCCCTGGGGCGAACTCCCTCCCTGACAACTGTCAGGGATTGATCCGTTCGAAGCCTGGTTGAACCTTCATTGGAGCGTTCTGAGTTTGAGTCCTAACGCGCACCAAACCGAATATGCCTTTTTGGTTTACACTCCCTTTTGGTATATATAAAGGATTGGATAGATCCTCTATGTTTGCTTGGGCTCTGATGTTGTTTTGGTTGTTCTAAGAATCATTCTAAACGGCCAGTTGCTATCAACAATGGTTGAGTCGAAACGTCTCCTTGCAGGAATCTCCCTAACCAGCCATTCGGGACTCATGCCAGTTCTTAGACGTGCACTGTACCCATAAAATGAACAAAAACAGTGGTTTTCTGTGTGTTTTCCAAAATGCGGCTTATCATCTAGTGATGGCCAAGTCCGGTTCGGTCCAGTTCTTGGCCCTTTTTGGCCGAACGCCAAACCGCCGGTTCGGTTCAAAATGGGATTTTGCCGAACACGAACGCCGAACACCGGTTCGAACCGGTCCCGAACCGGCGTTTTTGGGGCGAAAACGGCCGAACCTGGCCGAACCGAGGGCCAGGTTCGGTTCGGAAATGGCCTTGGCCGAACCTGAACACCGAACGCACGTTCAGTCCGGTCCGGTTCAGGTTCGAACCGAAATTCCGAACCGGACCTGGCCATCACTATTATCATCAGGCCCAATAGAGTACACTGTACTCTATTACTTACATCTATTGTACCACTTATCTCTGTGCAAGGAGGCATCACTGACTTAAACAACCCAATTTGTACACAAGGGACTGCTTTAATAGGCCCTTCAGTTTGATTCGACCCCACTTGCTTTGCTTGTGGGCCTGACAACTCATCTGTTCTGTTCCAGGCATGTGTTTCTCAGGAGGAGCCTTGTATGGCTGGACCCAAAGCCTGACAAAAACCTCCCCTTCAGCCCCCTAGAATGTTCAATTTGGCCACAGGCTGAACTTTATGTGATCTATTAATTTTGAAAATCTGCCTAATTTGGACACGTCGAGATCAAAAAGAATGTGCTGTGACCTGTGACCCGTCAAAATATTTTGGCCAAAAAATCTGATATGACCATGACCAGCAGAATTGAATAAAATGGGTCAGGTTACCTTAAGAAAAGATTTCATAAGAGAAAGCTCCAGAGGCAGAATAGGGGAGACTGGATTATTCCTGTTCATGTGGATTACCTATTGTCAGGCTTTAGGTCAGGCCATGGAAGGCTCCTCATATTATATATCCAGAATGGAACCACCTGTTTATCCCACTTACCTGCTTCAAACCAAGGTGACAGGATAGTGATAGCCAGGTTTGGTTTGGTTTTTGGTTCGGGCTTTTTTGGCCTAAAAAGGCAGGTTCAGGGCTGGTTCGAACCGGGGTTTGGCATTCAAGTTTACTGAATCCGGGTTTTGAACTGAACCGGTGGTCCAGGTTCAGCCGAAATGGGCCAAAAACTGGGCCGAAGTGGACTTGGCCATCACTCACCATCACTTCAGAGGAATGGTATTAGAGATCTCCAAAGCAATGTGTGCTGCAACACTCTTTGTGTTTTGGAAGCATTCATATAGGTGTTTGTGTTGGGTGTTGCAGAAATAAGTAGGGAAGCAGAAGTCGAATAGCTGAATAGAGAAGCGATGTTTGATGTAATGACAATTTGATTGTAAAAATCTAGTCAAACCCTGGGTTCAAGAAACCTTTTTCTTCACCATTTAAACCTTTTATTTTGGCCCTGGTTGATAAGATAAGACAAGGAGGAGATAAGATGGACGATAAGATGGTGATTGGATCATCAGATGTCGATGCTGATGTTGATTGACAGCATGGAGTTGGCATGAGGCAAACAGCACGTAAAGGCATGGCTTAATGTCATTGCCTCTCGTATTACTACGGTATTAGGCATGGTAAACACATGGTAGTAGTGTATATAAGTAGAGTAGATTTTGTCTTGTACCCCAGTCTTTGAATTGCATCATCTTGGCATGGTAAACACATGGTAGTAGTGTATATAAGTAGAGTAGATTTCGTCTTGTACCCCAGTCTTTGAATTGGGTAAGGGTATGAGTAATGCCCCGGATACCCATGGGTTTACCCATGCAGTTGCCTAAGATTCTTTATAATATCCTTTTACGGTGCTTCTTGCTTGCCTTCGCTGGCCAACTGGCATCCTCTGAATTGGTGTTGTTTGTGACAAGCCCAGCATAAAAGACATGTTTGACACATGTTACATCCCTTTCATCTTTCTCTTTGTCTGTTTTTCTATATATACACATAGACACCTTTGCTTTCATATTGCCCTCCTCCTCTACCTACTCACATAGCTTGTTAGACATTCTTCTTCACTTGCAGCTTCCCTGTAGTGATTCCTCTTTTCTTTTCTTGTCTTGTAGTTTCTTCACTGAGGCCGGCTCGAGCGCGGTCCTAAGGGACCGGAGCCAGGTACTTTTCAAACGCATTACAGGGAGGGGTGCTTACAGGCCAAGCAAATGAGCTGTGGCAACCAAATCGATCTCCATTTTTATCAGAAATCAGGATATACTGTAAGATTTTATTCAATTCGTATGTCACATGTCACACGACCGATTTTATACGAAATTTTTTTGTATGTCACAGCAAAAAGTGGATTTTGGCTTCCCAAAATGGTAATTTTTTACAATTCCGGCGCCTTCGGCGCGCCAAATTGCCAAATGGGGAACATCATACGAATGTTTTCGGACATCAATGTGTCACAGCCCCCCGGGCCATTTGAATTGAATAAAATCTTACAGTAGAACCTGATTTCTTGTGGATCAGATACAATTTTTGCAACTTATACTGTATGTCAATCAAAGGACTATTGTTTTGGACCATGATTTCTTATATATAAATTCTGCTTAGAGGACCACTTTTTTTTTGGCTGAAAGCCGGTGTTCGAGTCCCCCTTGCCTCCACTGAGAAAAGTATATTTGACCACCAGTGCAATCATTACTTAGTATGTTATGATCGCCATCAGCTTGTGAGCCGCTGACACGTCATCAATCTTCTTTTCATTCTGACACCAACGATGGACCCAGCGCATGCGCAGCTAGCGTCAACCAACGCTTCACCCTCAGACAACGAACTGCTTGAGCTGCGCACCTTGGCTCAGGCCGCCAAAGACGAGCAGCAAGCGCTTCAAACGCGCCTGGAAGAGATCAGAACACTCGAGCAGAAGCTTGCCCAACAATCGGTGCAGCTTGGCGACAAAATCAAGGTGTTGCGCGCCATCGTCTTCCACGTCCGGCGGCTGCCAACCGAACCGCTCTCCCATATCTTCCTTCTCGCTATTGCCACACGACCAGACCTCTCCTATCCTCGCCTCCGCTTTACCATTTGCAGCGTTTCATCACAGTGGCGCGCTGTCGCCCGCGGAACTTCGCAGCTGTGGAATGTCCTGCGCATCGCCCTGGGCCACGAGCGCAATCGAGATATCTCTCCTAGAAAGGCTGTCGCCATTTTGTTCCATTTCCTCGAACTATGCGCCCCTCACGCCCTGGATTTAACGCTTGCCGTGAGGAACTACCGCTACACATATGTCCTGCTGGCGCCTTTGTGGTCGTGCAGCTCACGAATTGCATCTCTGACGTTTATTGGACCACAAAACGCTCTGTTCACACTGGCAGGCATCCCGCTTGACTCATTTCCTCGCCTACGTCGACTGGACCTTACAGTGACTGAGCTCTCAGGGCTTCAAGACCCTGACGGAATTCCGGGCCTATCATCTCCGCCCGAACTACGACATCGTATGAAGGTTGGTAGCTTAGTAGTATTGCAATAATAGCTAAGTATGAGTTGGAACACCAAATCCTCTTTTCATATTTTCGATTAATTACATGGGTTTTTTTACAAACATTGCGAGTAATATGCTACGAGAAACAAGTGCGATCAGCAAAGCGAGGCAGAGGCAGGGAGGGGACTCACGGTTGAGCGACGTGCAGGTATACGGCGCCACGCTGGAGAAACAGTCAATGTACTAATCAATTGAGCAGAAGATACTAGTACTCACCAAGACGTCGCGCCTGTCCATCCTTGGCCGCCACATTGGTCCCAATGCGCCGCCTGTGAGCCGGTCGGGGGCGCGGGCGTGGTACTGGAGGCTGCGGTAGTGCTTTTGACGGTTGTCGTGCCGCCACCGCCGGAAGCGCTGGAACTGGAGCCACCCGCGCCGCCGGGGGTGATGCCGAACCACTTGAGATCTTCGGGGACCATCACGGGCACAGTGTGGCCGACGCCCGCGCCGCTGATGCCCTGCAGGTTGGGGCCGTAGATGGACTTGGTGTAGCTGTTTGCGGGGTTGTTCTGGAGGACCTGGGTGGGTGCGGCAGCGTTGTAGCCGAAGATGCCAGCCCATTCTTTGACCTCTTCAGCGAGATTTGGTGGGAGTAGGGTCGTGTCTGCGGTGCCGTGGTACTCCTGGATGGCCGGGTATGACCCGGTGTAGCCGGGGTACATGTTGCGAACGACGCTGGCCCACTGGGCGGACGTGGCGGTGCTCTGACCTTGTGCGCAGGTAGAGTTCCATGCGTCGACGCCTCCAGAGCTAGACACGAAGCAGCCAGCAGCAACGCCGGAGTACACGGTGGCGGCCTTGAACAGGTTGGGGTACGTTGCGGCCATGACATTTGTCATCATCGCTAAAAAAAAACAGGGCAAGTGAGGAACAGCTGACAGCAATGGACGGATAAACGCACCGCCCGAAGAAGACCCGGTGACGAATATGCGGCTGGAATCCGCGCCGTAGGTGTTGATAGCGTAGGCGACCATGTTTGCGATAGCGTTGCTGTCGCCACCGCCATTGTGGGTGAGCGTAGCCTTCGAGCTAACGTCCCAGCACGTGCCAGACCACGGAGAGCTCGGGTAAATCACGATGAACCCGTACGTGTCGGCATACTGTGCGTATTGTGTGCCAGAGAAGTACGCTTGGGCGGTACCCGTGCAGTAGTGTATTGCCACAATCACAGCCGGCTTGCTGGCGACCGTCGTCGGCTTGTAGACGTACATCCCGACATTGGTGGGGTTTGAGCCGAAGTTGGTCACCTGTTGCAAGCTCGAGGTAAGCGCGAAAGCGAGGCCGGCGTGGAGCAGAGCGAGGAGGACAGAGAGCATCGCTGGAGTTCGATGACGCGGAAAGGAGGTGATCGACAGATGAAGCCTTTATGGCAGTGGTAACCTCGGAAAAAGCACCCGAGCCCGGAAGAAGTCCTCTTGTTCTTGTGACAGCGATGCATCGGAGGGAAGGCATGACATCGAGTACAGTGCTCCGCTGGTCATTGAAATGCTCCAGAAAGAATCAATGTCGGGAAAATCGAAGCGCTGAGTGCCGACCTTGGGGCTCACGAGGCTAAACTGAGCGAGAGCAGCGGACTGTGAACGCCAGCCAGCAGTATCTTGTCGTCAGAAAAGCGCTTGTGATGCCCAGGGTAAAAATACTCGAGCTTGAGGTGTCCGTCATGATTGTCAAGAAACAGGAGGTGTCACGCTGTGACCCTATAAGTCACGGCGTGACTAGCCGTTGCCACGCAACGCTCACAAGCATTCCGGAACTTCTTCCCCCGGTCATGGACCCGCTGGCTACCAGTACACGGTGAGATGCTCGCCGATCCCTCGTCTGGCACACTGTTTGCACACGCTATCTCTGCTGGCGTGTCCACACGTCCGAGTTCCTGCCCAGTGCACGGCGTCATGGGGTCGCGCAGCCGTCGCAGCAGCATAATCTGCCTGTTCTAACATCAAACTCTCCAGATGGCCATATAATATCATAATCTGCTCATGCATGGTTCGACCCCGCCACGCGTCGTCCATACCCTGTGGTGCAACGTTAACTCCCAGTGCACCCACCATCTCCGAGTCGCTGTGGCTCTGACAGGCCATACTCGCTGCCACTCCCGATCACGCTGTCGGTGTCTGCCGCTTCATTCCAAGTAGGACCAGCCGCTAGGCCTGACGTACCGCGCCAGTCGCCCCCGGGCCAATGGATCTCCTCTCCTCCATCCACTAGCAGTCCGTCCGCTGGCAAATACCCCGGCGAATACTTTTCCCAGTCGATCGGCAGCGCTGCTACGCTCATGTGGCCATGTGGCCCTTGGCGGTGTATGTCCTCGCCTCCCCATCGTCGTTTCCAGGAGGCATTCACCGGGAAATCAAGGTTGTGCGAGGACTGTGATGAACTGGCATATGCATGGCTGGATTTTTGCGACAGCTTCGATACCGCCGTCCCAGTGAACTGAGGGCCAGCCAGCGGTTGCGTAATCGGAACGGCTTCCGCCCAGCGCTCGTATGGACTCCGCTCCCTGTGGCGGGGCCTCTTGCTTTGGTAATGGCGACTCGCATGCGCCGTGGCCTTCCGCGGCCGTTTCGTTCTTGGTATCCGACGGTATTCGCAATCCAATCCGTGTAGCTGGCAGCGCATGCACGGCTGCTCCTCCGAGCGCGAGAGGCACTATTCGCTCGTCAGCGACTACATTTGGGGAGGAGGAAGATGAGAGTAAGAATGCCCCCCGGCGTCTGCGCACCTTCACTTTCTTCGTACGACACTGCAGACACGCGACTACTACGCGCTTGGGGATCGAGAACGGACTGTCCATTGTCGGCAAGATACAGAATAAAGCCAACGGGCCAAGACCCACTGTCCCTCTTAAGCACTAGCTATTTTGACGGCAACAACGTGGATCTCCCGCGGGCAGCTGGTGGGAGCCGTGCTGTCAATCGACGCGCTCTCGCGCTCTCCACCTGTTTCCCACATTGCACAGCACGGAGCCGGCGGTCGCTCATAGGGCAGGGCGTGCGAGGTGCCGAGGGTGTCGCGCGGAGTTGTGCGCGTCAGCCCACCTCATCTCAATTCGCAGTGCCCGCTGTTCGGATCTCATTTTTGACGGGCTATTAAGCGCCTTAGACTGGTCGTTATCGACAGTCATAATTTCGGGCAACGTCGAGTGAAAGAACTCAGAGAAGACAACTATTATTTTTAGCTAAGGCACCTGTTGACATGCTGCTTCAATGATCATGAGGCAATACGACCTGATATATTTTTGAATATATTATTGAAAATATGGATATAATACTTAAATCTGAGAGCCATACTTTGTACGTAGGTGGGTTGGGGTTATCAAGGGCCTTAGCAGTCATGTGACATATCCGGCCACCCCGGCCTTCCAACTGTGCCAAATCCCACATAATTTTGGTTGTCTTTCATTTCCCCACTGACTACTGTCGCATTTTATTCAATTCGGCGGTCACGCGTCACACCGGCCCTCCGGCGCCGAAATATTTCAGCGTGTCACGGGCCCACAGCCAGATGCCGAATGTCAAATGCCCATCAAAGCATCAAAAAAAATTTCGGCGGCCCTCTGGGCCAAAAAATTTCGGCTGTCACACCCATCGACAGCCTCAGGCAGCGCCGAAAATTTAATTTCGGCGCCGATGTCACACCATTTTGGGGCGCCAAATTGAATAAATTACTACAGTACTCTCCGGCACCTGAGAGCAAACACTTCCACAAGCTGCCCAGGCTCCAGCAGCCCCAGCCAAGGCGAGGAGACGATATCCAACAGTGGCCACAAGAATGTACTGACCTATTCAATTCGACAACTAGTCCAACACGTGACATTGGTGTCGAACTCGGCAATTTGTCAAACTGTCCCCATTAGGAAATTTGGGGCCAAAGGCAACGGAAAATGGAAGAAATTACCCTATTTGGACGGATTCTGGGCCAAATTTTTGCATCTTGGTGTGACTGATAAAAAAAAATTCATCAGATTGGAGGGGTGTGACATGTGACTATCAAATTAAATAAAATAGGTTATGGTGCCAGGTTTAAGGGTTTAAGGATGTTAAGGGCAGGGGCTTGATAAGGGCTTTAGGTTTAACTCAATTTCCACTAACCCTTAGCCGGTGGGAGTGACCCTTATTAAGGGAGTTAGTGTCACAAACAACACCAATTCAGAGGATGCCAGTTGGCCAGTGAAGGCAAGCAAGCAGCACCGTGAAAAGATATCATAAAGAATTCGAAGACTGGGGTACAAGACGAAATCTGCTCTACTTATATACACTACTACCATGTGTTTACCATGCCTAATACGAGAGGCAATGTCTGTAAGGGCAACCCCGGAGGCCTGAGATCAAGGTCCTAGCAGGGGAGGATCCAAAGAGTGAATAGAAGTAAGCAAATACAAGTGAGGCTGACCTAGCAGGGGAGGATCCAAAGAGAAGAAACTCTAAGGGTCCGCCTGCTAGGTAGCGGAACTATATACTGCGCTCTTGACGCGCCAAGGTTGATCGTTGCTCCATGCAGTATGCCTGCGCCATGTCGCAGGCCAGGTCCCAGGGGGATCGCCAGGCGGGGGGCGGCGATGCGCCTGACGGAGGCGGTGATGCGATCACCGGAGTCGGAGCCGGAGTCGGACCGGAATCGGAATCGTCTCCGAGGGGCCGAAAGGGAGGTTCCCCTGACATCGAATCGTCTCCGAGGGGCCGAAAGGGAGGTTCCCCTGATATCACCCCCCCCTTTGAATGCGGCGTCCCGACGCATAGACCGGAATGGAATCGAGTCGAAGGTTGCAGAGGCGATGTGCCGTGGTTTGCCAGGGTACTTACGATAGAACTCCGCGATTTTCTCCGGGGCGAAGAGGCGGTCGAAGCGGACCCACTGGTCATGCGACGCGTCGTAGCCTTTCCATCTGACGGTAATTCAGCCGTTTATACCTCACCCTTGCGTCCAGGATTTCCTCTACTTCCCACTCCGGGACTCCGTCCTCGAGGTCCGGAGGGGGCTGGTCGTAGCCGGGGCGTCCGTCGAAGGAGTCGTCTTGGGCGAGCTCGAGCTTGACGACGGGGAAGACCGGGTGGAGCTTCGAGTAGCGCGGAGGGAGGTCGAGCTTGTAGCCTATGCCTGCGCCATGTCGCAGGCCAGGTCCCAGGGGGATCGCCAGGCGGGGGCGGCGATGCGCCTGACGGAGGCGGTGATGCGATCACCGGAGTCGGAGCCGGAGTTGGACCGGAATCGGAATCGTCTCCGAGGGGCCGAAAGGGAGGTTCCCCTGACATCGAATCGTCTCCGAGGGGCCGAAAGGGAGGTTCCCCTGATATCACCCCCCCCTTTGAATGCGGCGTCCCGACGCATAGACCGGAATGGAATCGAGTCGAAGGTTGCAGAGGCGATGTGCCGTGGTTTGCCAGGGTACTTACGATAGAACTCCGCGATTTTCTCCGGGCGAAGGACGCGGTCGAAGCGGACCCACTGGTCATGCGACGCGTCGTAGCCTTTCCATCTGACGGTAATTCAGCCGTTTATACCTCACCCTTGCGTCCAGGATTTCCTCTACTTCCCACTCCGGGACTCCGTCCTCGAGGTCCGGAGGGGGCTGGTCGTAGCCGGGGCGTCCGTCGAAGGAGTCGTCTTGGGCGAGCTCGAGCTTGACGACGGGGAAGACCGGGTGGAGCGTCGAGTAGCGCGGAGGGAGGTCGAGCTTGTAGGCACCTTTGCTGATCTCCGCGACTATCTTGAATGGTCCGAGGCGGCGGTGGGAGAACTTCTCCGAGGGGCGAGTCGTCCTGATGTCAGAGGCATCCAGCCAAACACGGTCGCCAACCTTAAACTCCGGAGACGGAGTGCGTCTCCGGTCGTAGTAGCGCTTGTACTCCTCTTTGGCCTTAGTGAGCGGCCTTGGCTTCGGCAACACCAGTGGCAATCCGGTCGCAGAACTCGTTCACGGACTCCATAGCGGAACGGACTCCGGGTTCGAAGCCCATGCGCGGGAGTCGTCCCGTGTCCGTCATGAAGGGGACTTGTTGCGTGGAGGAGTGAACGTGGTTGTTGTAGGCGAACTCCGCGGCCGGAATCAGCTCATCCCAGTCGTCCTGCTGATAGTTGGTAAAGATCCGCAGGTACTGCTCCAGCTCCTGGTTGACGCGCTCTGTTTGACCGTCTGTCTGCGGGTGGTACGCGGTGGACGTGGCAGGCTTGATGCCGATTAGACGCCAGAGTTCTCGGGTGAAGTCCGCGATGAACTGCGAGCCGCGGTCGGAGACGTACTTCTCTGGAGTCCCGTGATGGCGCCAGACATTCCGGTAGTAGAGGCGAGCCGCCCCTACTGCGTCGACCGTGGTGT